TCTTATAATTAGTACCATATTTTTCACTAATATTTGTAATCGTTTGGCTTTAGTATTACTGCTTTCCAAAACTGCTGGGCCTACATTTATACTTCATAGTGTGTTCCATATATCAGTTTCAGTTTTTTCTCTTATTTTCTTATTTTTAAGTGCATCAGAAATTCAGTTTAAAATGCAAGAACTGCAAGGTGACTTTGAAACAATTTATGAAAGTTTCATGCAAGAGAGAAATGTAAACAATAGTTACTTAAGATGCTTAAACAGAGCAATGAAGAAAAAATGTCCCCACATGACAGCAGGAAATATTTTCTATTTTAAAAGGGGACAATTATTAACCATGTTTGCGGGATTTTCGACTTACAGCTTGTTTCTTCTAAATTTTTAAATACTAGAGACTAAAAATTAGGAAAGAAAATATTCAAAAATTAAGTTTCAGTTTTCGATATACATTTAGTGGTTTATTCTAAAAGCTGCTATTACTGGTGCAATTAGCTGGTACAGTGCGTCAAAAAAAAAGAACCTCCTTGAATAACTTTCCATCTAATGACTGGATCTTCACATTCTAGGACTCAATCTTAATGGCTTGAGGGTGTGACCTCAAATTTGTTAACTAATAAGTGCAAATGATGTTTGAATCATTTTAATCATTCAATTCATTGAAGTCAAAGACAAAAACATACTTTCTCTGAATAAACATACCTTTTTTCCGACTTATTCGGTTTTCAGACTCGCGAAATATAGGGGGTAGCCGCAATCTGGGAAATATAGTCCCAATAGTTTGGTCAGAAGTCAGAACATCGATGCAAAGTCTAGACCCCTTAGTGTTAATTTTACTTTTTGAGTATTCGCTATTTTCCACACAATTATAAAATCACGAAAATTACATTTTTTAATTGTAAGTCGGTAGAACAAATACCAGTATTGCTAAAACTTACCTTTTTCTATGTACCGTTTCTCAGCATCTGAATAAGATATTGCTTCATTTTTTTTTCACTGAAAATATAATATACATGTTTACACTGTGATAACTGTGAATACATAGCTTTGGTATAAATTTTTGAAGAAAAAAAAAACTATGAGCTGAGAACTTTCAATTTTTTTCATCAAATCTTTCCTAGTTCAAAAAGTATTCCTGTTAACACAAAAACATTATCACAGCATACAACTGATATAATCTCAAATGCTATAAGCTGGAATCTGTATCATTTTATTTTAAAAAGCAAACGATAATAAATCTAAATAAAATTGCTATGTTCTATTATCTAAATAAAATATGTTCTCACTTCTATTTTACGTTTAATTTTTTCTTGAAAATATGTCTATCAATATTTTGAATCAAGAATTAAAAGATCATTTAATTAATAGCGATATTTCTCGAGAAGACGCTGTTTTATTTTTAGGTAAGCAAATATACTTGATTGTTCTTATTTTCAAAACACTATTGTTTAGAATACACTTTCCAGTTAAATTAGATATATTTTAGCGTTTTTAAATAAAATGCTAGTCATTTAAATTATTTTTCAAGAGAAATTTAGTAAAATTGAACGTATATAATGTGGATGATAATGGAATATTTAAAAAATCTGATTCCCTGCTAGAATCTTTGTCAAAGTATGTGGTAATATATTAAACTAAACTAAACTCAGCAGCGCGACAGCCCAAGAGGGCCAAGGCCTACTGTGCCCATCTCAGTTTTCATGACCTTGGGCTCTGGGGTGCAGGAGCAGATGTTCCGGTCAGGTGGTCAGCCGAACGCGGAACCCCCAGTGTTTAGTTCCCAAGCATGCTTGGTGCTTGGTAATATATTAGATCTGTAAAATTTTTAGAATTTTTTTAGACCTCATACTAAAATTTCAACTTTTTATTTTAATATAATGGATTTATATCTATGCTTCAGTTTTCCTGGTTGTATTAATGTATTTTGGTAGAAGAATTTTTTGGATTATTAATTTCATATCATTCTATACTTTTTTTATGAAAGCTATTTTAGAAATAATCTATAGTTCATATAATCTATACTTGCTGTTTTTTATATTACTTTCCATTAATAAAGTTGACTATCTTTAATTTATGAAAGTTTACATTTGAAAGATTCATCCATTCAAATCTGTATTTTAAGATATTCTATTCTAAATATTTAAAAGCTAATTTTCTTATACCTCTTATCAGCATACAATGTGTTATATATCTGACCAGTTATTTTATTATTAATAATAGGTTCTTTGTACATATATGTGTATATCTGTGGTTTCTATTGAATATGTGGTCCCTGACAGTTCCTTCGAAATTCATCTATGGTCAAACTTGATCTAACATGTATTTCCATATGATAAAATTGATTATTGATCCACTTTAAAAGTGAAAAATGAAGTAACCGAAATACCTAAATGAATACAAAAATAAAGTTTTTCACAATTTCAAATTTTGTTTTATTGCATATTTTAAAATATTAGTTTCTTTATTGTTTAAAAATACTTTCTTTTTATTGAAATGGAACATTTATTGTCGTTTGTCGAAGTTAAAAATTGAAACGTAGCAGTTTAAAATTCATTTTAATTCGTTGAAGTTGACCGAGTGCAAATAAGAAATTTAATGTCATTAAGTAATTTAAAATTGATTGTCTATTTATCCTTTTGGGCGAATTTTTAATTACCAGCACTTTATAATGACTACGGATGTAAACTTCTAGTATGCAACCGGGAAAATAGCAGATCCAATTTTTTATTAATTGTACTCAATTTCCTTTTATTTCATCTGGATCTTAAAACTGCTGGCAAGAAAATATTGGGTTGGCAACTAAGTATTGTCTTTTTTATTTTATTTTAACATTCCGCATGTCATTAAATGTTTTGATGCTTTTTGCGCAATGTTATGGATTTTCATTTTATTTTATAACCGGCGTTGAAACAGTCGATCCAATTTCCGAACAAATTTCGAGTTCTAAGTTCAGGACTAGCAATGCTTAACTCCGTAGCCTTGTGATTCTGAATCTAACCCAGGAGACAAGGGAACTCCTGGATAAAGTATTGGGAGAAACTTGTCTACGTGGAAGGCATTTTGATGGAACTAATCCCGCTTTTGCCTCACATGGAGTAAAAAACTATGAAAACCTCGAACTGTCAACCCGACGGCAAAAGGATTCTAACCTATGATCCGTCTACCACGGAGGGTATTTTATGTCAGCACTGTGGTCGATGCGAACCGGGAACAGAAGTCGTACCAAGCAGCCTCCGCTAATATTCGAACCTTGATCACTTCAGTGGAAGGATAAAGATCTATCCCCTGAGCCACCATGACTCAATGTTTCAGATTGCATTTTATAACCAGCGTTGAACATCTGGGCCGATTCGGAGTTTACGACTATCACTGTAGCGTTGTAATTTTAAAGCCATGCCATCAGACAAGGAAGCTCCTGGATCAAGCATTGGGACAAACTAGCCTAAAATTACGAAAATATAAAAAGTACATTTGTTATGCTTATGATGAAGCCTTGTATATTTTCTTAGCTGATGCTGATCGCTTAAAAATTAAGCAAAGCGAACGATATAGTTCACTCTTTTTTACACTTTGTAAACAGTTAGGTGAAAGAGACGTTATACACCTACAAAGGCTCGCATAATGAGGAATATTTTTTATCTCTTTGTTATGGTGGGTAAAAAAGGTCTATTTTGGAAGCAAAGTCTTAATAATGATCATCTAAACAATGTCTAACGGCATAGCTTTTTGTTTCAATCATCTAAAGTATTTTTAAAGATATTCTAATATTTATTTTATTTTCTAAAATAATTAAAGAGAAAAAAAAATATATTGCTTGCATCAGTAATATTGTTGCAGTATTCAAAAAACGAAATTCACACTGAATTAAATAATTTTTAATGAATTATAAGTTAAATTTTTAGTAATTATGTTGACATTTTAAATAATAAAATAAACAGAGTCACAATGTGAGAAACAAATCTGTAAAATATAAATAAATAATTATAAATTATTTATTTATAAATAAATAAAAATAATTTGACTGTCTCGAAAAAAAAACTAAGAAAAATATATATGTCATATTAGTTTCCCAAAAGAGGCCCTTGAATAAAACATTTTTAATTTTCAAATGATTCTGAACACTCAAGTAAAGTAAGCCCAGGGATTGTTTCAGCTGCAATTCTCTGAATTACAATCCTTGTTTCTGTTCTGTACTGTTATCTACGAATGGAAAAAGAAAAATTCTGGATCTAAAATTTTAACTATAATAAAAAAAAGAAATCTGTATCATATTAGTGTCCCACGAAACAGGCTTTTAAATGAAACATTTTTAATTTTTAAATGGTTCTAAACGCTAAACTGAAACGAATATAACAAATAAGCTCTGAAATTATTGCTTCAGCTGCAATACTTTGAATTACATACCTTATATTTTGTGTTCTGTTCTTATCTACGAATGGATTAAAAAAAACTTGTATCTTAAGATAAAACTATAAAAAAAATCTGGTCCATATTAGATCCCCCAGAAAAGTTCTTAAAAAAAGCATTTTTAATTTCTAAAACTATTCTAAACACTAGAGAAGAATATCACAAGTAAACTTTGAGATCATTATTTCAGCTGCAACACTTTGAGTTATAAAAACTGTTTTTGATCTGTGTTCTTATCTACTAATGGATAGAAAAACTGGATCTAATAATAAAATTATTAAAAAAACCTGCATCCTTATTTTTCCCAGTAAGGCCCTTAAAATGATGATATATGAATTTTTGAAATAAATGAATTTTTTAATGAGTTTAAAAGCTAAATAAGAATATCTTCAATAAGCCCTGAGATTATTGTTTCAGCTACAATTCTCGCTTTTGCTCCTTGTTTTTACTTACGAATGGATAGGGAAAAAAACTTGGATCTAAACATAAAACTATAAAAAAATATGTTTGTATCAGATAAGTTCTATCAAAAAATTCCTTAAATAAAATATTTTTAACTTTTAAATGATTCTGCCTTGAAATGATTCACAAAGAAATTTTTACAGAAAATATATTTATTTAAAAAGAGTGAGAAAGTACAAAAAGATATGTTATAACAAGAGCCAATAGCACCATTAATGAAAAGTATATTAAGAAAAGATTAAAGCATATAAAAATTAATATCAGCAATAACAAAATTCAGCAACTTGATCCATTAACTCAATAGTCAATTCCAAGATTTAACGACCTTGACGCATTTTCATAACACGTTCTTTGCTGAATGCCCTTTTCAAAATGAAACTATAAAAAAACAATATTTTATTAATATAGTTTAATTTGCTATAATACATACATTTTATCATTTTGCAGTTATAGGCCTAATGAAGACTAGACTTAAGAAGATAATAAAAGACTAAAATTATAGGATTTTCCTTTTTTCTTGAAAAAGAAACATTTTCAAAATCTGTTTTCAAACATATTTATTTACAAAATGAATTAACCAGTTTTTTTTATGTAAATTGTGAATTTTCAACTTTAAACAGATGATTTCATACAAAGGTTATATTGAATTATACTTTGCAGTGACAAACTCTCGAACCAGGAAAATTATCTAAAATCAATAGTCTCAATATTACTTCATAAATGGAATATTATTGACTAATAACAGCCACGATGGCTCAGTGGTTAAGGCACTGCGAGATCATTGAAAAGAACTGGGATTTGATCCCAATCAATCAGAATTTTCAAGAAAAAAAATCAGAGAAGAATCTGCTTGGTGAAACAAAGCGAATTTAAGATAGAGGGTGCGTTTCTTGTTTTTAAGTGGCACTATTTATGGCAAGAATATATCTTCAGCCACTCACATGTCCCAGCCATTTTAAAGGATGGACCCATTTATTCCGCCATTCATTCATCCTTGGGTTGTAATTTTGAATGAACCCGGTAACAATCAATCTCCAATTCAGTGCCCCCAGAGGTATTGATTTGTTACAGAAACAAGGTAACTTTGTGACTTGACAGATTCAATGTGAATCAATCACCATTAACTACACGGGAGTCTTCGGTTGATGGGGATCAAACGCCCTACCAACCAGGCTATCCCGAACTTCAAGTTTTCTTCCTACATTTATTAAAAAACTTGCCAAATATGACTTAATGCATAATCACATAAATTACAAAAGAGTGTACAAATTTGAAGCAATAATTATTTTCACTCACAATAATTAAAAACTGAATAACTAAGTTCTTTTTTTAGTTAAATATTATTTTATACTATATCTTCTGATATCAAAATAAATCATGATGAATTGAAATTTTCTTCTTAAGTTTTTCATGCAATAACATCTGATAAGTTTGATTGTATACATCTCAGAAATCAAAATAATTTTTTACTGAAAAATATGCCAAAAAAATATCATGTGCTAAAAACATTTACAAGTAACATGACTTTCTTGAAATTTTCTTCTTAAGTTTTCATGCAATAACACCTGATAAATTTGATTGTATACATCTCAGAAATCAAAATAATTTTTTACTGAAAAATATGCCAAAAAAATATTATGTGCTAAAAACATTTACAAGTAACATGACTTTCTTTAAGTGTTATTATATAACAAAATTAGAAAAATAATTCTTACAAACTATGCATAAAGAGCAAAATTTTATGTGCAATTGATGAATATGTCAAAGCAATGTTTACTGAATTACAGGTCAGCCACCTACTTTCTATAAAAGGACGGAATGTATTGAGCCAAATAGAGCACTACTAACAGAGGTTGAAAAGTAATCCAACATTCATCTAATTTGTTTGCAATTGCTGTGACCATCAACTCACTACAACGTTCCGTTTTCATTTTCTTGTCAGAAGACTGTTGTACATGACCATATACCTAAAATGAGAATATAAATTAAATATTTATGACAAATTTTTTATAAACATTGAATTTAAATAATAAAAAATTGCTTAGTAAATTAAAGATCACCAACATAATAAATAAAATAAATACTGCTTCATAAAAAATAATTAAATAATCATTAGTTTAATAAATCAATTATGCCTCATTGAATAGCATGAGTATTATAGAATAATAAAAAACTTATCCATGTTGTTTATTCTCAAAAATTTAAAATAGAGAATAATTTACATGGTAAATGAATAAATCTTTTAAAATAAATTAAGATAATAAAATATAAAATAAAATAAATAATAAAAATATAAAATAAAATAATTATGGAATAATGACTATTTTATAATATTTTAAAAATTACTTACTAACTAGTTATACTTAGTAAATAATTATAACTTTAGCAATTAAAAACTTTTCAATAATTAAAATATTAATTCGGTATTAAATATATAAATTCAGGGTATATAATTCTCCACAGATTAACATGGAAGTAAAGTCAGTTTTTTCTCTTTCATAAACATATTACTTCTATAACATTTTTTGTATAGTTTCATTAATTATATTTTCGTATTAATTAATTAAAGATTGTTAATGAACCAATTTAGAAAAAAGACTTTGCAAGTTCTAAGTTGTTCATCTCTGCTATAAGGATTCTATCTACGCCAAGGCAAAATAAATTGATTTAGCTCATTATAACTTCTAACACAAATAACTAATATCATCTAACTAAAATCATTACACTTTTACAAAAAACTTAAAGAAAATTTATGACATCATAATTAACCTGGGAGTAGATTTTACAGAGTGAATCTGCAGCATTATCTTCACAAATCCAAATTTACATGTGACCTCAATGCAATCAGACAGAAATAATCACTGTAAAAATTTAGCTAAATCTAACAAACATGCAACAAAATTACGCAAATATAAGGTCTTTATAAATTATACAAAAAATAAGGAGTAAAGCCCCCTGCTTGCAGCAGCTCACCAACCCCCTATGATTGGTTGGCAATAATTGTTTTGTTTAGCATAAAACTGTTTTTTCAATGAAAGTTCAAATATTTCGTTTGCAATATATGTAATATCAAGAATTCTGTTTGCTTGCAAACCACTTTCCTCATCCAACATTCATTTCTTTAAATTAAATGTTCATTTTGAGTTAAATTTGACAGATAAATAGTATAAAAGATCTTGTATGATTCCTCAATGATTCTATTACAACCTATTAGTGGACATAAATAATTTTGCTTAGTAATCATTTTTCTTAAAAATAACAATCAAAATTAAAAAAAATATTATTATAACTAATTTGGTGAGTTTCTAAAAGTAATTTAATACTTTCGCTTATCAAACAGGTTTATATATTGAATGTTATTTGTGCATACAGTACATTGAGCATGAAGTTGATCATTAAGTTCCAAATCATTTAACAAATCCCTTTAACAGTTATTTATAATAGCATATTAATGTAATTTACACCAAAAATAATAATTATAAAGCGGTTCACAAGTTTAGACATTGATTCAAATAAGTTTGTAGCATAATAAGTTAATATTATAGAATTACGTTATAATAATAAAGAAACGCCTCTTTCAGTTTTATACTCTAAATTTAGAGATCAATCAAAATCAAAGCATAATAACAGCAGAGTAAAATTTAAAAAAATATTACAGGAAAGTATCTTTAAATTTAGGATATAAAAATATTTCACAGAAAAACGATACCTTTATGATTTTAATTAATTTTATGCTAATGACCACCAAAAAAATATGGAACTTAATATGGGAAAAACTGGAATCCACCTATGGTTATAGTGGATGGGGTATGCAGCAATGGCTTTGATTATCGAAGGGATGGTATCATTAAATAGTTCTAGCTGAATGCTGTGGTGTACTTTCTTTTCCTATTTTTCTGGATGACAAATAACTCTGATTTCTAACCATTTACATAGAATTTCCATTTTAAACACCAGTTTTCATTGCTGTAAATTTTTCCCCAAAGTTTGGATCCATATTCTCAATTACCCTTTTTAAATTAAATGAAAAAAAAACTTACATTTAAAATGGTTAAATAAGTTAAGCAAGTTCCCTAAATTTTTCATTTAAAATTTAGAAGATTTTAAATCTATTACAGTTTGGGACAAAAAAATTCTGTAACATTTCTACTTGTTATTTCTTTTTTAAATGTAGATAAAATATTGGGATTTTTAGAACTCTGATCCTACCATGTGATGTTTTGACCAATAAAAATTTACCGACAACAGTGGAAAATTCTGATATAATCATTAGATAATTCTATGTAGTTAGAAATTATATGTTGTTTAAATTAATGTTGAATTTCATACAAAAATACTAAAAAATAGAATAAATTCCTATACATTGAAACCTGTAAATGAGAAATAGAAAACATTCATTACGTTTTATTCTTTCGAACCAGATTTTTAATTTTTATTAAAAACAGTTAAGAGATGTTTTAAAAAAGCAGTCTTAGAAATTTTCAATAATTTTTTGCTGTTTTTTTAAAAATAAAAACAAAAACTAAAATGAATAATAATCTGCAGATGCTGTAACAATCTGCATAGCTGCAGTAATATGCACAGCTGCAATAATCTGCACATCAATAATAATCACCATACTCAAAAATATTAGCAAGCTGTTAAAAAAAATCAAAATCTTAAAGTGCATAACATGAAACATACAAATATTAATTTTAAAAATTTATTTATAAAAATTTGAATAAACCTAACATTTAAAACATGGTATATTATTTTTTTTTTAAATGCTTTTCATAGTTATTTGTTTTAATGAAATATGCTTACTGAAACATTAAATGATTAAGCTTGATATTTTTTGAGTATAGCACAATCAAACATATTCCTGTAGAGAAAAACTCAGTAAACATTTATAAAAGAATGTTTTAATCTGCTTTAAAAATTGGTAACATCAACTCTAAAAAAAAAAGTTATACATGTTTCACAAAAAAATGTCATATCCAAAAATATAAATAACCAATGAAAATAAAGTAATAACCATAATTGCTAATTGTATATAATGCAGTTTAATGAATTTTTTTTAAAAAAAAAGCATCTTTAGTTTAATTAAAATAGCTTTTCCCTATTTTAATTATAAATAATAATAAATTTCAAAATTTTGGAACATGTTTCAGCATTGGCGTTTAAATTGCAGATTATCTAGATAAAAAAAAATCTAATCAAAGTCTGTAAAACTAATACAAATTTTATTTATGCATTGTTTATATGTTCCTCAAGAAACATTGCTAAGAACGGAGCAAAAAAGTTTTTTCAAAAGAATCTATTCCTACTTCTCCTACTTTCCCGGTAACACATCTGTCAGTTATACGTGAAAATACAGGCCCAGGACAAGCTATAGTAACCTGTATATTTTCATGAATCAGTTCAGTCCTCAAACATTCAAAATAGCCCTGAAATTATTGAAAAAGAATTTATCAGACATTATAATATATATATAGTTAACATAAATTTAACTTTTCATAATTAAATTTCATATTTCATACTCAGTTTCATTACAATGAAGGAAAACAGAATTAAGATTCAATTTCACTAATTTTCAAACATAATCATTTAACTACAGTAGAACTAAATTATCCAATACCTTCAAGACCCTAGTATGTCACAGAAAATTGAAATAATTGGAGGACCTTTCAATTCAAAATTTAAGTTTATAAGCATTAAATGTGAATGAAGTTACTTGAAATAAGTAGTAGCTGTAATAAAGTTTAAAAAGAAACAACTGAGTTTTATTTTTCTATCATTAAACAAATTAACATAGATATATCCATAAATAAATTGTTAACTGTCATTCATGTAGAAATAAAAATCATTGATACATTTTTGTTTTTCTGAAGCCAATTCCCCAATTCGCCGTTACAAAAGTAAATGGTTAACAACATCTGTAATATCGATGAAACATAGGTCAGAACCCTTTTAATGCAATTCTGAAGGGATATCAGATAACCAGGCGTAGGATGATCAGATTTCAATGGTACTTCATACATTTTACAGGTTTAAAATTTAGAATAAAATACAATACAGTAGAATATCATACTTTTAAAACACTCTGTTAGCATGAATAAATATATTCAGTTTTATGAAAAGATATGTTAAAATCAGGTTCAAATTGAAGCAATAAAATGATTTCATTTTTCCATTAAGTGTATTGATTAAAGATGTACCTCATTTCATTTTAGAAAGGATTTTGAAATGCACATTCATTGCTAAAATATAGTTTTTAAGTTATTCTATAATGTGGAAAAGTTTAAAAAAAAGCTAATATGCATTAAGAAAAGAAACAGAATTTTTTAATACTTTAGCACTAAGGAACAATAGCTTTAAATTTGAAACAAGAATTATATTTACAAAGAAAACTTCTTCAATTAGTTAATAAAATTATTAGTAAACTATAAAGTGTCATTTATAGGCAAAGAAACATAACATGTTCTGATGAATAAATAACACAATTCAAAAACTAAAGTAGAACAATACTTACATGCATTGCATGTTTTGACCCAGTATAAGCAGAAGAATATGGTGCTCCTAAAAAATAAAATTTGTATTTTAATGAAATGGCTTTACACTTTTCAAGATAGACAAAAAAATTTATTATGTAAAGTTACTGTTTTCTAATAAAAACTTTAAATAACATGTATGTTACTTATAAGCTACTGTTGTAAGTCACAGTATATTATTATGAAATATAATACTGAAAACAATTTAAATACATAATATTTCATTCAAAGACCTATAATTAATAATGAGAAAAGAAATGTGAGAACATAAAAAGCTTTATAGAATTTTTTTCTGTAAAAAATCATTTTGTTTGAAAATAAAAATCTCATCTTCACTTTTAAATACTGGTATGTGTAAAACATATTGAAAATTTTTCCTGAATATAAGTAATCTAAAAACAAGAATGTGAATCTCGTAAAAATTTGTTGTTGTTGCTAAACTCGGAATCGTCTAGCAGCACTAGATGACTCCCATGAATCCGAACACCTCCAAAAAGTCCATAAAAAGACTGGAGTCTCGCAGGACCTCATCTTTACCGAACCCCAAACAAGTCAGAATATGTAAAATTTAAAAAATCATTTTAACACATTCCTTAAAAAATATCTAAATGTATAATATTTAAATAAAACATTGCTTTGCAACACTCATCATGTAGCAATATATTTAGCTTCAAAATAATCTTTAAAGATATTTCCCACATTGGTATAGTCTATTTGCTATAACTTGAATTATAATTTACTTGAAGTTCAAGCTGCTTCCTCAGAATACTTTTAATGTTCATCCAGTATTCAATGTAGCAGTATTCAAATTCATCATCCTTCATTAATATTCAGAATAAAAGCAAAAATTGCATATAAAGAGCAAACATGCTAGNCAAAATAATATATTACCGAAAAATATTATATTTTTATTTGTATCTTCATAATTTTGTGCAAAGTACACTTGTTGTTTTTAAAGCTAAATTATTTTTATCAACAAGTTCTTTTCTCCCAAGTTTTTTGTAGTCCCCTGAATTTCGTAGGCCCTAGGTACGTGCCTAGTGTGCCTATAGGTTAATCCGGCCCTGCTCATCATGTAGCAATATATTTAGCTTCAAAATAATCTTTAAAGATATTTCCCACATTGGTATAGTCTATTTGCTATAACTTGAAGTATAATTTACTTGAAGCACAACAACTCGAATTTACTAAAAATACAATAACTGAAAAATGCCCTAATTTGACTTTATGATATCTTGAACGTTTTATATTTAATTTCATCTTAATTAATCTTGATTTACTCACTTTTGACTTAGTTTTGACTATCTATTATAGCTGAAAAAAGAAATGACTTATTACCTTTCGTCTTGCAATTGATCTACAATGCGTAAAATCATTGATACCTTAAATAAACTATAGTCTAATGATCAGATTTCTATATGCTAGAAACCAAACTTAATGTTTTAAGGACCTAACTTGAAATATACTAATTAGTTAGTGCAGATGATATTTTACACTACAAAATCAGACACAAAAATATACTTTATTTGAATAAACATTCAAATAGGAGCTGCAATCTGGAAAATATGGTCCCAATAATTTAGGCATGAAGAGCATCAAATGTTTGAGTACCTTAATGTTACTTTCACTTTTTGCAAATTTCACCATATTTTCAGAATTAATGATAAAATTTTGCCCACTATTACAAAACTTGCTTGTCCAAAGACAATTCCAAAAAATTATAAATATTTGTTATTTTCTATCACTCAATTTATTAATAATCAAAAACATTTTGAATTGTATGGTTGCAGCTTGTTTATCGGAAATCCATGTAAAAAATTATTTTTATAATTATTTATTATTTAATTTACTAATGGTCAAAAACATTTTGAATTGTAAGGTTGCAACTAGTTTATCCAAAGATTTAAATGTTAAAATTTCTATGTATCCATGTAAAAAGTTTTTTTTTTTATAATTATTTATTATTTTTCATCATTCAATTTACCAATAGTCTGAAACAGTTTGAATTGTAAGGTATATAAATTTTTACAACAATTTAATCTATTGTCAAAAACTAAAACTAATGGTAAATGCAACTTTTGATAGATTAATAGTTTTCATCAATCTTAATCTTATCAGCATTAACTTATCACAAACTGTCTGCTCTATAATGAGTGAAACACTTTTTCAACTGCAATATAGTTGTTCAAACTCACCCTTAAAAGTTTAATGTTTCCCTCCTCAGGCAATGTTAAATTTATTTCTTTAGCAGAAAATCAGTCAGATTTGCTCCTGCTATATGTAAAAGATACATGGCCCTCCAACTATTACTGTGTTCATTATATTTTTCATTGAAGTAAATTATTCAGAGTTCCCACTCTTTTAACAAAGCAAAAATTAAACACTTCTAAAGGCCTTTTTTTTTAAAAAAAAATTAAGTACTTTTTTGAAAAATTAAGGACTTTAACAAGGCTTGCCAAAAGTACCAGGCAATTTTTGCAAACCTGGGTTAAACTTTTTTTTAAAAACATTTTCAGATTGTTAAAAGTTAACGTCACTCAGATTGTAAAAGTTAACATATGAAACCAACCTGCATTCCATTTTTAATGATTTCATTGAAATTGAATTGTAAAATTAAGTTCAGAAATTAAGATTTGCATTTTTTTTTCATGTATATTTTTTTACAAAAAGTAAATTAAGAAATTTGGCAAAAACATTGAAAAAATTATTATAAGTTTTAATATTTCGCTACTAGACCAGCAAATGTGTTATATTTACTTTTATGATGAACATTAACAAAATTATTTCCAGCTAAACTTGTTATTAATAATTAACTTGACATAATGTTACTAAACATTCTGGTGAAAAGCAGAAGCTAATTTTAAAGCAACTAAAAATTGAAAAAAAAATTAAAAACAGTACATTAAGTTGCAATAAAATGATTATTAAAATCTAAGGATCTTTTAGTTGACTATATTTAAATTTTTAAGTAACAATCTGCTTATCCTTAAGAAATAAAAATATTAGCATAACAATCTAAAACTTAAAAAAAAATTGTACATTGCAATTAAACAAATTCTAAATAGTTACCAAATAATTTACCGTTCTTGCTAGAAGCTAATCATGCTTTCTTATTCAGTACTCAGGAAAAAATATTAAAAGTATTTTTGAAAAAAACTTGAGGTTTTCGTCAAAAAAACAATAAACCCCAGGTTTTTGATGCAAAACCTAGGTAGGCAAGGATTTTTCAAACCCTGTTTTTTACAGATCTGTTCAATTTTTAATACAATCATGAATTTTAAAAAATTTTATGCTTTCTATAAATTTACAGCTACTTATTAAACATTGAAATATTAAACAAATTTATTTAATTCTTTAAGATTTTAGGAAAGAGTTATCGTTATGGATTCTAGTTCAAAAAATTTTCTGATACTTCTTTTCTTAGCATTTTACTTAATTCCTATGAGCAGATGCGTAAAAAGAAGAACTGAATTTCTTGAATTCTCTCAATTTTGAAGGTTTGTAGGGATCTTCTACTATGTACCTTAAAACTGCCCCCCCCCCCCGTAAAAAAGCACTATCACTTCCTAGTGCACTATCCCCCTTGTCCACACTATTCTTTTTTTTAGAATGCTTCACTCTCCTCATAGAGTATCTTTCTAAGCAAAAGACAGAATATATTAATGAAAGAACCAATATATTAATGAGCGGACCAATATATTAATGAAAGGACATGCCTGCAGCCCCCCCCCCTCACACACACACACACATTACTTTTTATCTCTCTAAAATGCTTCACCCTCGATGCATGATCTAATTCTAAGTGATAAAAGAACGACATTTTGTTTTAAAAAATTGTTCCTGTCAGATATAGTGATGCTAAAAAATTTAAGACTTTAAAAAACCTTGTACCAAAATTAAGTACTTTTAAGGGCCCTTATTTTCGGGGGGGGGAATTAAACAGTTTTTAAGGACTTTTAAGAACCGTGGGAGCCCTGTTATTTGATTTGTTCAAGCTGCTTCCTCAGAATACTTTTAATGTTCATCCAGTATTCAATGTAGCAGTATTCAAATTTATCATCCTTCATTAATATTCAGAATAAAAGCAAAAATTGCATATAAAGAGCAAACATGCTAGTCATATGTTAGATTTGCGCTATTTCAGTAAAAAAAAAACTTACAATCATAAAATAGGGTTGGATAATTAAATTAAGTGTTTGATTTTATGATGCCTAACACTGACATAAACAACTTATAAAAAACACTGTCTTTTATTTTAAAGTCACAAATAGTCATGCAAAATGTACAGCTTTTTCTTAAATTCGTTTCATAATAAATTAATGTATGGAAACAAAGTAAAAATAAAAATTATCATACCAATTTTTCCAGCCATACTACTGGTAGCTACTATGTGACCTTTTTTCCGCTCTAAAAAGTGTTTCAGCACTTTTCTTGTGAGATTAACAGCTCCAAAAACATTAACATTGAACAAATTTATATCAACTTCAATGTCAGTAGTTCCAAAGTCTGCTCTTTGAGAAACCCCAGCATTATTAATTAAAATATCAATCTGTAATTAATAAGATTTTAATGTATATTAATAAGTTATTAAATTTGCTACAGAATATATTGAAATTCAACAATTGAACTCTAATGACTTTTAAATAGTCTAATATTTTGAAGTAATTTTTATGAACAACTAGTTCTATATTCTCTTTCAAAACTTATTACACAAAAACAATTGATATTTAATAGATATATATCACAAACAAGGCTATAAAATGGAGAGAATAATTTATTGTCTAAAATTGGGAAAGGACACATAAAAATTGACATAGATGCAGTTTAAAAATCCTAATTAATGTAAGATATTTGCACATATTTATGTCTCATTTAATTTCTATGTTTTCCTAATATTTTCAAATAAGACATGAAATTAGGCATACGATTCCAAGGTTTATGCCACATGCAGCTCAAAAAAGTATATGGATCATTACATAATATTTAACTAGTTATTTCTTGAACATAACTAAACTCTAATAATATTTTTTTTTAAAAAATGCTAGTTTAATTTCAGAATGTAGAGTAGTAAGAATGGAGAATGATAGCTGAGGGAATACATAATGCAATACAAATGATTTTTTTCTTTTTTCTTTTTTTTGTATTTTCCTTGAAAATACAAAATAAAAGGTATAATAGACTGAAAAAAGTACAAACATGTAAAAATTTAACTGCGAAATCATGAGAAATGAGTACTGTGAAATGGCACAGAGCTGAAATATATAGCAAAACAATAATTTCATTATTAACGACCAACTTAAACAACAGGCATTTTCTTATAACGTACAAAGCCGGTTTGCCATACTTTAAAAAGATTATAAGTAAAGAATTTTTTTATGAAATCTGGTGCATAATTAATATTTTGGAAAATAAAAATGGAAAGAATATTTTTTCTTGGTCAATAAATCTTTATGTATTTAATATACTTTATATACTTAATAAAACTGAAATTAACTAAATATTATTAAAAAATTATATAATTTGGTAAATTATAAAGAGAAACAAATATATTAAAATTTATTTTGATTAACAAATGAAAGAAATGCTAATATTGTTTACACAAAAAGAATTTTTTTAAAAATGAAATGGTAATTTGCTTTGTACAGATCCTTCAAATAAACAGATACAAGCATAATAGAATAATTAGTACATACAGTTTTAATGGACAAGAATGACATGAAAACTGTATATTTGAAGCTTTAAATAGTAGTAGATTTAAATTATTTGTACATAAAATTATACTAAGATAAGCAAATAGCTATTCATATCAGCATGCTTATTGGATTAACTGTAAAATGATTGAATTTCAGAAAATATGTTACATACAGTGTAACATTTTTTATTACATTAATACATAATAATACAAAGGTCCTTTTTTTTATAATAAATTTGCCTTTGAAAACAGCAAGTACAAATTGGTACGGAAATTAAACAAATTAAAATTGCGTTTTTAAATGATAAAGTAAACTGTTTTAGTGCATGAATTTAACGTGAACATGAATTTAGATTAGATTTCTATAAATTAAATGACACTGATATAAATTAAAAGCATATTTGATATAAATTTTAAAAAAAATTTTAAAAGATCTATTTAAAAAAGGCATACATTTTGCTTATAAAATGTCAACTCACACTAAAACGAGAAAAAAGCATATAAAAATAATCAAAAAAGTACCCTGCAACATTTAAAATTATTATTAATAATCAAATAACAAGTTTTATATGTTATATATTTCAATATCCATATTTATGGTATTTATCCTATATGCTAACATTTCTGGTATTTATCTCATATACTAATAGTATTTACCACTATTGCCTCATAATTACCATGTGTCAACTTTAATTCCTATTTACATACAACATTCTGTTAAACCAATAAATTTCTCTAATTGATTTGACTTTCATAGGTGCATATTGTCAAAATTCAACAAGTCATAAAAAAAAATAAAAAAATTTCATGCCAGTTACTACTCAATAATGAAAGTTTTAATAAATAGATTTAAACAACAAATACTCTTATGTTTAATCATCTGAGCACATCACCCAAGTTACAAGATTGGTTTTTTAAGAGGATTTCATTTCTGATAAGAAAGTCTGTATAGTATTAAAAAAAAGATATATCAGAATACAATTATAGCTCCAATAAAAATTGTCAAAAAATAAAAAAGAATTTAAACTTTTTAGGGTCTAAAATTTATACATCAATTACCTCCCATTTTCTACTGTGATACTTCTAAAAAATATTAAAAAATGAAATCTACAATAGATTTCCCAGAGAATTTCCAAACTTCCTAAAAATTTAAAGTTAAAATTTCAAATGGCAGAATTGCAAGCCAGTGAGAAATAAATATTGCTCCAAACTTTGAATAGTTTTAGCATTTAACTATAAAATAGTTGGTAAATTATAACTCACTTGACCAAAATGTTCTAGTACTTTTGAAACGCATTCTTCATGTTGTGCAAAATCTTGAATTGAAAATGGAACTAATAAAACATCATCTTCTGAACATTTGGAAAATTCTGAAATGTAACAAACATAAAGAACTGTAAAAAAATATAAATATGTTGTTTACATATTTCCAATATACTATTTGTTTTATGGTATATAAAGTACTTCTTTACAGTTTGTAAAAAGGTGTTAGATTCCATTTTTTGTTGTATACAGTTTCAAAACAGTACATATAAATAAACATTCCCCAATGGTAGAAACTGCTTAAGATGAAAAATTTATTTAAATCTATTTATTAAATAAATATAATTCATATTATTCAAAACACAATGCATACATATAAATAAAAGTAAGCAATTTCTAATTGTAATATATTGCTTTCTAACAATCAGCAACCATTAATTAACATTCTGCTTCACAATAAACCTTTTGATTAATATGTTTCAGGTATATCCCTTGATTCATTAAAATTGTATCTAAATTCAAGAATATCTAATTAAAGTCATTCAGCACATTTACTCATGACAAAAATAAGCTATTCAGCTCTGTTTTTGTTTGCCAACTGTAGAATATCATAGCATTCTACAGTTGGCAAACAAAAACAAAGCATATTTATTGAAATTTTTTTCTCACTCTAAGAAATTTCTTTTATTAATTTTGACTTCCTGTACAGTTTATAGAGAAGGCGTCTCGTTGTTTCATTTTAAAAAAACTCAGCGAAAAAAAAAGCTTGCATTGATATGGCGTAAGCGACATGTTAGGTTTACCACATTGCATTATCCAACCAAACACTTTCTACTTTTTCTTAAAAGACAGCTGGCAGAAAAGCTCCTCTTTTCCATAGATTGCAACGAGAACCGGGTTTGCATGAGAACTTACTTTTTTAAAAGTATTTTGTGAAACTACCGTTTTCCTAAAGTTGAATTTGTGAAGGTTAGCTGAATTTGTGAAACGGTAGTAAATTTACCCTGGATAGAACCCAGATAACCCACACAAAGATGATTGTGCCTAAATTTTAATTCTCTAATCTAGATCATTCTTTTAAATTTAAAGGACTGTTAGTTTCCAATAACACTGAAAACTATCATTACTATCTAGTAGAACAAGAAAAAAAAATGAGTATTATTTGGTGCAAATTAGTCTGAGTACTACCTAAATGCTGAAAACTATAATTGTCAAACAAATTCAGTAGGGAGAAAATTAATGGTTGCAAAAAAAAGGTAATTGAAAAGATTACAATCAAGCTCCGGGGACATTTTAGAAAAAAATTGAGTCTGTTGACAAACTCTTCACGGAATTTATTATCATGAAAAAGAACTCTTCATGAAGTAATTTATCATTAAAACAAAAATTTTATAACAAAAACGGTTCCTTTTACTAAACGGTACTCTACTAATAACAGCTCTAACTCATATTTTTTAAACAAAAACTCTTTGAAAGACATACTTTTTTCCCCAAAACCAAAACCTTATTTTCACTTATTCGCAAAATTATGAATACATTTTTCACAATACGGACCTTTCACAAAATGTTTGAACCCATCACTTGCTTCTAAAATTTTTTTTAAAAATCTGGTTCATATTTTAACAAATTCACAAAAATCATGAGAAGATTTTTCCCAACTTCACGAAAATCGACCGTTCACAAAAGTCTGGAATAAACCCTTAAGTTATTAAGTTATAAAAACTTTTAAGTTTTAACTTTTATGGCAGTTTTAAACTTTTCCATCGTGTTTGATTTTGTCTGAAAGTACAGAAAACTAAAAGATATAACTGTCAATCAATTAATTATAGAAAAAACTATTAAATTATGATATTAACCAAGACAATGTTTTTTCACATTTTGCAGTCTTTCAACATTAACACCAGATAATGCAAGCCTAGCATTTCTCTTCACAAGACTGTAAGCTAAATACTCCCCTATGCCACTTGAAGCTCCAGTTATCCAGACAACATCCTTCCCAAAATCTAAAAATGACAATTAAATCAAATTTTGTTATAAATTTAACAATTAAGAAAAAAGAAAAACATGATCATAACATAAAGAAACATAGCAACCAGAAACTGTGAATATAAAAGCTAATTTAGGAATAAGTTAGAAGTTACGAATCAGGCAATCAAATAAGATCTGTTGACATTCTAATTTTAAAAAATTTAATTTAAAACGATTCTATGACTATTATGTGATTCAGTACAACTGAATTTCAAAATATAAATGAAATTCTACGCACAAACAGAAAGCTAGTAAAATTATAGCAATTTTCATAAATTTTCAAATGTTAATGAATTACTGGATAGATTATTCCCATTCACTTTAGATAATTTAGGTCAGTAATAATTAATTCATTTTAATAAAACAATTTTATCCTACAGTGAGATTTAGGGGCAAATCATAAAAAATAAGAAGTCTGCAGCTTCTACATGTCTACATTCAGTAGTGTGAAAATTTTTGAACCAAACCTGTATATTAATTAATTTAACCTAAATTTTTAAAGAAAGAAAAAAGTAATTTTGTAATTAAACTTAATTGATACAAAAAAATATGTTAAATGTGTTTCAATGCATCAAAAATTTGGTAAAACATGAACATTTGAAGAAATATATTAAAACTGTGTATGAATAAAAATGTTCAAAAATTCAGTTTTCTATAATTTGATAGGTATGGACATCATAAAATTTAAGAAAAAAAATTCTAGTATGAACATCATAAGAATTTAATAAAGTATTTTTCGAATATTTTCAAAGAGTAACTGAAAAAATGGAATTTCAAAAACTCTTATTTTGCATCATAAAACAAGATGTGCTAAAACTTTTTATTCGATGCATTTAATTCATTAGCGCAATGGACTCTTTCTAATGATGATTACATTACTGTGGTACGTTAGTCAGCATTATTAATGCGTTATTTGTCACGTCTACAGCAAAAAATTATAACCGTACTTTAATAGTAAAATAGTAGCATACTTGTATCAAAAAGAAAACGATATCTTTACTATTAAATTTCTCGTATTAAGGTATAATTTAAAAATGAACAAACCTTTTGGCGAATAAAATGTATGGTAAAATAAAAGAGTTAAATCAGCATCGGCAAAAAGCATAAAAAATGCAAAAAGTAAAATAAATATACAAATTATAATTAATATGATATCCATTTGGCTAACGTTGGAAGTTTCCAAAACCGTTTAAAAAAAAACAGGGTAATTAAAAAAGCCAAGTAAACCTATCATGCTACTAATTAACTGACTGATAAAGTCTATTGTTTATTCACTTCCTGCTACAGGTTATCTTGACAAAATAAATGCTTCAGGCAGACCAAACAAGCAAAGAAAAAAATCATACAACAGCAATTTTATAAACCATTTTGTTGCGACAGGTTTCTAAAATACCACTTTTTTACGCTTAAACCTAAACAGTAAGGACTATTCTTACTGACAGCAATTTTTCACATGTGAAAATATCACATTTGATAATTGAACCAGATTGGTCGAAATTATTTACCCACGAAAAACTTGCCAATCACGTTTTTGTTCGCACGAAAAAAATTTTATTTTTATTTCTCTAATTAGTTTGGTTTTTGGTGAAGTCTCATTTTCTTCGTCAGTTTGTAAGAGCATTCTCAATGCTCATTACATTATTGAAGTGAATTATTTCTCGATATTTTTTACATTTAGGTTCACAATGCTTGAATACGCCCTCTAGCGGGAAAGATATTTTCAGGCTTCTATTTATTAAATTTTCATTTAGTTCTATCAGAATCATAGGTAGAGCAGGACGCTTTTTTTTCAGCAGCAAATAAGAAGCAAAATTTCAATAAGGAAAAGGCAGAAAAAATTTAAAAAAACGACCTTAAACTTTGGTAAATCATTTGAAAACAGAACGCGTATAACATTTGAAGAACAATTTCTCAATAATTTTCTCCTTCATTTTATCAACAAACTTGCAACCGATAACTTTCGATTTCATGAACGCATTTGTTACATATTGAAATTGATAGTGAGATCTTACAGTTACAAAATTTTTTATACTGCATTTCATCTTAAAGTAATGAAGGGATAATCTATGCACACATTATTTTAGAACCAAATTTTCAAACTAAGAACATTTTACTTTGGAATTCTCCCGATTAAACAGGTAAGTGTTAAGATTTTGATAGTAAAAAATTTACTTGTAAATAATTTTTTTTTAATTTGATGATAGTTCTCTACAGAATGATTTTCTACGTCTGATTAAGAACTTTAAGACCAAAAAAACTAGGAAAATTTTTTATTTCAAAATAAGTTATTTTAGGATAGTTTTTTTTTTGTAAGCATTCTTTATTTTACGTTTTTATTTTATAAATAATTATTTCGTATTGAAACTTTAAATTTTTCGAAAAAAAATTTTAATTTTTCGAATTTTTTTTTGCAAAATTAAATGACGTAACATGTTGAGTCTGTGTATATTTTTTGTAATGTTTGAAGTTCTTTGATTCAGAAAAGTATGGAATATTAAGTTTAAATAGACCTTTCATATTAGATCATTTAATTTAGTAGAGCGATTTCACAGGTATTAGGTTTTAACTGTAATACGAAGATAAGATACATATTTTTCCAATGTGTTTGGGATGTACCTTCTCTTTAAAAAAAAGAGATTCCATTTTGTTTCCGCTTGCATAAGAAAGAATACCAAATATTTTTCTTTTTTAAATTTAATAAGTCACAATAGCGATGGAACGTTACCATGCTACACTGAAGAAATTTCTAGTGCAACTGATGTTATTCTGCTAGCAGTCATTTGTCTCAAATAACAATGCCCCCTATAGGTCGCAGCATTCACGAATCGTCAAAAATCTATTTTTAAATTTCCACTGTCGTTAATTTAAGCATTACATTTCATGCGCTTTTGAATTCCATACATAGTCAGTTGAAGACAGAAACTAGCGGTCTTGCAACTCCTATGACTATCCACACACTATTGGTTCTGTTAAAGAGTTCTGCTATGCATCACCTATAGCCCATTTCGATCGCAATATTTTAGAGAATTTTAAACAAAATACAGTGAAAATTAAAAACTTCTGTAACATTTTTACTTGTTATTTTTAAAAAAAAATTACGAGAAATGTGGAAATTTTTCTTGTTTCTCTCATCCAATAAACAATTTACCACTACCACTGTTATTGATCATTTTTAATTCAAAAAAAAGAGGGAAATATCAAACTAACCTTTTAATTTTGATTACCATATAAATTAATAATCAGGTTAAATAATTAGTAATTTCAGAAAAGATGAATTGAAGATAAATGCATCTTAAATATGTTAAGTATATAGGAATTCATTAGTTTTTGAATTTCTAGTTTGTATTTAACGGTCATACATGAACTTAATAATTACTTATTCATAGATATTTTAGGAAAATTCAACGTTATGTACATGCATTTTTGAGATCAGATTATTTAAAATGTTTAGTTAATGTTTTTTTTATAAATTAAGATAACTGTAAAAGCAAAGAAATAATTAAAGTTAATATATAATAGTTGAAAATGATTACAACAAAAATATAATCAGAAAAAGCTTTAATTAAAAACTATTCAATTTCCCCTTTTGATTATTTTTAGAATTTCTTCCTCAAAAGCTTTTATTTCAAAAAACAATTTCAATGAATAATTCCAACTATTGCGGAGAGTTAATGCTCAGGAGGAGAGAAATAAAATCTAAAATAAACAAGAAAACGTTATTTTTGAGTTATCTTATTACTAAGTATAAAAAAAATTCTGAGCGTTATTATTAGTTTAGTGAAAACCATCATCAGTAGAATTATGATATTTAGCAGAATTGAAGATGAATAACATCTTAAATATATTTACGTTTCAGAGGAATCTTGGAGCAATTAAATTGTCAAGTCACACTTTTCCTGAACAAATATCAATCCACTTCAATATCTTGATCTTTTGCGGCTAATTTCTACTCCATCATAGATTGCGAAGTGATGTAAAAAAAATAAGCAGGTAATTCAGATATTAGTAAAAGACTGCAAGCAGAAGGCATAGCTTCAAATACAATTAATATAGATTATAAAAGATATTAAAGTGCAAAATCTGAGGCCTAAAACTAGACCGATCAGAAAGAGTTCAAATCGTTAATTGATCTGTAGTGAACTGGAAAAGAAGTTTTGGGGGTTGTCAAGCAAAAGCAAGCAGGAAGTAAAACCTGTTAATTTTATTAAATTATGCTTTACTTATGTTTGTTTCTAAGTTTTCACTTTCCGGTAAAAATTTATCCAAAACTGCACTTCAAATAATTTTATTTTGTTAAAGATTGACTTATTTGCTGGCTATATGTTAATTTTTTCCTAAATTAACATTTCTCATTACAGGACAAAAACATAAATTCTTTTATTACTTATACATAAATTTGAGCATAAAATTAACAGTAATTATTATGAATATCATATAATACACCTCTCAAAAATATGTGCCTGGATCCAGTGGCGTACGCAGAATTTTTTCAAGGGGGGGGGGGCTCATAATTTTCAGAAATTACTAAAAGAAATTCGAGTATGTAATAAAGCACTATTATTTCTCTAATTTAGACAGCTAGACAATTTTGACTTTTTATTTCGACAACATNCGTTTTGACATCCTAAAGATCCAAGAACAGCAAAAATATATACATATATATTGGCGCAGAAATATCCGCTAAGCTACGATCTCAAAGTTTCGAGCTGGAATGAATAACTTCAACGAGCACAGTGTCTCCAAAACAAAACCGATTTAGAAACAGGCTCCAAAAGACAAGCAGCAGAGATAACTCTCAGTCTGACTAACTAACTCCACTGTACTCCGTTCCCCCTTTCATATAAATTTTTTTACCGCGTCTACAAAATTCTCGAATTGTCTCAAAGACGACAGAACGTCTAGGATTCCAGACCTCGCGAATACCAGCCAGTCTCGAAAACTACCGCGACTGGCAGGACAGAAAGGAAATAGCGATCAGGGCTCACCCGTAACAGTATCACGTGAATTTGATTTCAAAAGTACAACCCTATTATAGTAAATGTCTTTTCAGTATTCTGAGAAATACCGTGAGAAAAAAAAGTAGGCATAAGGCAAATAAAAATATATAGTCTTAAAAAATAATAAGCCAGCATAATTTCTACTGAAATTTTTGTTTCTGTTTGTATTATTTTGTAAATTCACTTTGTCTGGGCTCAAGGGGGATGTTTAAACCCCTAAACCCCCCCCCCTTGCGTACGCCCCTGCCTGGATCAAACTTCAAATTCATTATATTTGCTAAAGATGAGCATACTGGTCAGTGTATTTTTTTTTTTAAAAAATGCAGTTGATTTTCTACTGCTAAGATGAAAATTTGATGACTCAAGAAAAATTAATACGACTAATAGAGAGCCTCCATAACAGAAAAAAATTAAAAACTAGTTAAAAACTTTAACAGGATTATTGAAAATTTTAAAATTAACCTTCGATCAGCTTTTTTGACAATTAATAAAACTATATCTCTAACCAAAATTCCTAAAATAAAACAATTATAAAGAAAATTAAAATAGTTTATGGGAAAATACAATAAATATCTTGATTCACTCTCTTTTTCGATGCACGTTTTTAAAGTTAAAAATTAATAAATACTGAGTCAAAAACAATTATCTTAAATATAGACAAAAATAACTAAGAAATTTTAACATAAAATTTTTTTTTATTCAAAAATAATAACATTTTATTCGTGTGAATAAGTAATATCACATAAAAACAACAAGATTTCACAGGTATATTCTTGGTGGATGGGAAATTAAGTAATCGATTTCAAATGTATAAAAATAAATTGATGTCCAAAAATGAATTAAAATGTTCCCTTTAAGTAAGCTCAACAGTCAGATGCAAAGATTAACGACCTTGAAGAGCTTTCTTAGCTCGTTCTTTAGTCATTACCTTTTTCACTACGATACTAAAATAAAAAATAATAAGAGGAATGAGAATAAAGGAACAATAAAACTGAAAAATTCATCATTTTTGTATAATAAAATTTGTTAATATTAAATTATTTATTTTACATCAAAATAGCTTTAATGATACATATCATTCAAAAAATAAGAAATCTAATTACAAAAATAAAATATGCTTAAAAAACTGTATTTTTAAAGTAGAATAAGAAGGAAAAAAATTGATTCTTGTCTCAATTTGAAAGAAAAATGTAGGACACCTTTCTAATCTGAAACATGGGAGAATTATAAGGGGTAATTGAAGTTTGTCAATAAAGTGTTGAGCCCCACGTGTTTCATTTTAGGTGTGAAAAAATATTTTCTACAATTTAGCTTACTTGAAAAAGGTAAAATTTAAATTAGTTTTTTATTTTATCAATTTCTTTATTTCAATTTTGTGCCTGTTTGATTAACAGAGAAAAGCTGGAAGTTTAGAGACGACAAATTATTTTGTGATAAACTCTACTAAAAGAGATCATGTAATGATTAAAACTTGATTCATCAAAGAGATCCAGTAAAAGTTTAAGCACTCTATCTAGTCAAAATGTGAACAAAATTTCGATTCTAAGATTTGACAAAAGGAAACACAAAAATTAATTACTAAAGCTACATAAAAACATTTTTATCCTATTATTTTTACTATAATTCATCTTTTTAAACAAATTTTTTATTTAAAAAAAAAGTACATTTGACAACCAAATTGATACTGAAAAATCTGAAGGAAAAAAAAGAATTAGTTGCCTCTAAAAAAGATAAAACAGACATTTGGCAGAAACTAAACTTATACAATAGCCTTTTCTATAGTATAGCCTTTTAAAAACAACTTTTTATACAAAAAGATATTCAAATTTCTACAAGGATGTTGATCAAATGAATTTACAAGAATTAGTAAAAGCACTAGTCTGCCTTCAGATAAAAAAGTTTAAAAAATACAGAAATTTATTAGCAAGATAATATTTTTAAAAATAATTCTTCAAGTATGTTTCATATGGAGAGATGACAATCTTTAAATCTACAAACATTCAACACTTTTTAGTGTTCTTTCAGAATAAGAATACCTCGGGATGAATAAACTGTTTTGAGTTGTATTTTTCTCTGCATAAAAAAAACTAGCTTCCCCCATGTTATTAGGTAAGAAAACAGTTTCATAAGAGAGAAAAATTCTCCCTAATTAGCCTATTTGGAAAAACAGCAGATTAAGTTCTTTTGACTGAATTGTACCAAAAAATGAAATAATTATTCTTTGATTAATGATTTTAAGGAGATAACAATCTCATAAATATTAGAAAATTCAGCTTGGCACATTTTCAATCAAATATTGTCTTTGAAATTTATGAGACAAATTATGACACACAAAAAAATCAGAAGAACTTAACTACTGTGATTTATTGTAGAAAACTCAGAAAAATCATACTTAAAAATGTTTGTTTTGCTATATCTTACAAAGCGTTTTAACTAAATTTAATTTATTCTACAAAAAAAACTATTTCTAATATTTTATAACATAAAATAGCAAAGTAAGTTCTAAATATCATGTATAAATCAACCTACTTTCTGTAAAAGGATGGCATATATTGTGCAATGTAGAGGAATGCTAAAAAAGGTTGGTAGGTTATCCAGCATTCATCCACTTTGTTTGCAATTGCTGTAAGCATAAGCTCACTGCAGCGCTCTGTGTCCATTTTTTTGTCGGTAGGCTTTCGCACCTCATGATGTACCTAGAAAAAATAACGCTCAATCACAATCTGAATCAATTCAAAATTTATTTTTGTGAATATGAGTAAAATCAACAAATAACAAAAAGAAAACATACATTTTTACTAAGTATCAGTTCAGAGAGATAATTCAAAACATTTTTTAGCACTGTGATATTAGTTTGATATTAGATCTTGAAGTATTATCAACAATAGGGGAGGAACTAATGAAGGTATACCAAATTGATTAAACAAAATATATTTTCAATTTTAAATGAATTATTAAAATATAAAAACAATAGAATTTCAAAAAAATTACAATTTTCCATGGCAATGTAAAATCTGTCCTTTATGGATTAGAAACATGGCACTGCAATAAAAATAATGTCAAATAACATAACATCAAAAACTTTTGATGGAGGATCTTGAGTGTAAAGAGGTTCAATATAATAAATAACAAAGAAATTCTTAAAACTGCAAAGTAGAAACCAACTTAACCTAAAATTAAGAAATGGAAAAAGATTATTCATGTTCTCCATACATCCGAAAAGTTTAAAGTAAAACAAGTTTAGAATTAGAACACTACAGGGCGAAAGAAAAAGAGGAAGGCTAAAAATGACTTTGCTACTAATTAGTAAAAGAATTCAAAATATTAAATTCGATATTAACAAAACTATCTTTGAAAGAAATGCGCCCAAAAGCAGTAGAATTTTCAAAAGAAAGAATAATTAAAGCAATAAAGAAAACAATGGAAATAAAAATATGACCACCAAATCCGACGTCTTCAGGGGGTACCGACCTCAGAAGCCCTAAAACAAAACCTTTTCTATTGAGAGAGAGGACATATGCCAAAATTAACTCTCTCAGTACCCCGAAGGTTTTGTAGAAGTCCAAGAAAAAATACATGAAATACATAAAACCAAATCAGAAAAGAAATTTCAACAAAATCTTGAGAAATTAAAAACTCACATTAAACCGGTCAAACAGTGATTTCACAAACAAACTAAATGTAAAGGAAACTCTAAAACAAAAGAAAACAGCGCCCTCTATTAAAATGCACAGAATGAAAAAAAGAATAGTCAAAGAAAAGATTACTTTCTTTTCTAATTTGGTTTTATGTATTCCAGGTAATTTTTCTTGAACTTCTACAAAACCTTCGGGGTACTGAGAGAGTTAATTTTGGCATTTGTCCTATCTCTCTCAATAGAAAAGGTTTTGTTTTATGGCTTCCGAGGCCGGTACCCCCTGAAGACGTCGGTTTCGGTGGTCATATTTTTATTTACATTGTCTTCTTTATTGCTTTAATTTGAAACTAATAGCACAGTTGCCAACTTTCTATGTTTCTTGAGAAAAATTTCTTTAGTTGTAAAGTTAATGCTTGAATGTATGATTTTTTTTGTTTCGTAAGTTTGATTTAAAGCTATTTTTCACACCCCCTACATACATGATTTGAAAGTTATAAAAAAATTTAACAATTTTTTCACAAAATGAAACATTTCTTACCTTTCCCACTTCTTCAGTAACACGTCTCTCAGCCAGACGTGAAAACACAGGACCGGGACAAGCTAAAGTGACATCTATGTTGTCCTCATGTACTTCTGTCCTTAAAGATTCAAAATATCCCTAAAAATTTATAAAATTGTTTTGAATTTATTTCAGATTTCAATCACATTTGCAAAAAAAGAACAATAAATAACACAAATATAAATTCATTATCAGTCAAAAAAGTCAAATTTTATTCGAAAAAAAAGCTATTAAATAATAAAACTATTTAAATCAAGATCTAGAAAAAGCAGTGAAAATTATCATTTTACCATTGTTTTTGGTTATTACTGCTTTTTTTGAAAATAAAAATAATTAATCATGAAAAAATAAATAAAAAGCATAAGAAAAAGAATAGGTTTTATTTTACTCCCTTTTTTACATTGAATTGTCTTGCATCAAAATAGTTATTCAATTTTGTGCATTTATATTCCACATACAATAAAATTAAGAGTTTGTGTTTATTCAAACAATTTTGGGGATTAAAGAAGGATTTTACAAGTATAAAATGCAACATAAGGTAGGTGGTGATCCTAATGACCTAATTATCAGATATTGCCTTCAAATCAGTGATGAATTCAATTTAACTAAGGTTTATACCAATATGTAGAGAAGGATTAAGAGGATAGCAAATTCAAAATTATTTTAGCAATTCATTAATTTAAATTTGTATTACTGCATCATTATATGTGTGAGGGAAGACTTTGCTTCTCCGTCATTAGCCGTATAGTTGATAGTGGTATATATGAATGTTCATTTAGGCCATTAATGAATGAATTGAACCATTGAGTTTCCAGGAAATAATGTACAAATCGTTGAATGTAAATTTAGATTTTATTAAGCATAATTTGTAAATTAGAAAATGGCCATTTCTTCATAAAAAAAACTAAGAAATCCCTTAAAGGGATGAAATAAGAATACTCTCTATTGAGAGATCATAAAGCCAGAACATCCTTTCTGACGGTTAGAAAATTGAGACTGGGAGGCCCCCAANAACTAAAGAGCATACAAGATACAATAAAATTAAGAGTTTGTGTTTATTCAAACAATTTTGGGGATTAAAGAAGGATTTTACAAGTATAAAATGCAACATAAGGTAGGTGGTGATCCTAATGACCTAATTATCAGATATTGCCTTCAAATCAGTGATGAATTCAATTTAACTAAGGTTTATACCAATATGTAGAGAAGGATTAAGAGGATAGCAAATTCAAAATTATTTTAGCAATTCATTAATTTAAATTGGTATTACTGCATCATTATATGTTACATTAATTTTTATCAGGAACAATGACACTCACATCACTGATGTGTCTACCAAACTAGTTTATTTATTTAAAGAAAAATTGCTGTAAACTTGGCAAAATTTACTTCACCTAAATAATATTATAAAAAATAAACAAAGAAAAATGTCTTTTAATAATAAAAATAAACTTACATGCACTGCATGTTTTGATCCATTGTATGTAGAAGTAAATGGTGTCCCTATTAAGCAAAGTATCAATTTTAATGGCAATGTTTTTCAATTTAAATAAAAATAATAATAATAAAAGAATAAAATTTAAATCCTTAAATGAAAAACCACTTTTGTTAAGTAATTCCAAAAAGAGTTCTGTACAATAGTTTTCAAACAATAATCGAAATATAAATGATGCAGCATTTCAATCAATAAAAACTATTGTACATACTTGAAAATAAGAACTAGTTTTTAAACGAAAGAATGAATTTATTTAAAATAAATAAAAATACATATCACTTATCAAGGCTTATTCATAAGTTTGTTTGTTTTTTACACTTGTTAGAGCTTACACTGCTAAGCTTAATACATAAAACAGTAAAGAAAGTAATAAAAAAAAATTTATCAAGATTTTAAACTTTAAACAAAAATTTCCAATCGATGTTTTATTTTTATAAACTGATATAAAATATTTTCTATTACATGAATAACAATAACTTTATTTATATTGCTTCTTAATAAATGATTATTGATTAAAATCCTCCAATAATAAAACTTGCACTTTTGTTTAATATTTGAAGCTGAAATATTTTAATATAAGAAATATTTAACTAAAGAGCATACAAGGGGAAACAAGTGCAAAATTTTTAAAAAACACACTGTCCTATTTTTACAAAATTAGATAATTACTACAAATGAAAACTTTATTATAAAAATTTAAGTGAAAAAAAAAACATTTCTTCACATTGATGCAAGAAAAAAAAAGCTATCATAAACTTCTAATTAAATTTTCTCAAAGCATCATTTTCCTGCTTTCAGATATAATTCAACTAATTCATGTACACATTTCATGTGCTTCCCATTGAACTTAGTTTTTTTTAAATTGCATTTTAAGATTTTGAAACGCTAAAACTAAGTTTAAGGCTTTAGTTTCATTCAATATATAATAAAGTATTATTTAGTTTCATTCATTTTATAATAAAGTATTACAAAAAAACAAAAAAAATTTCAAATTAAATAGAAACTACTTACAAGTTATTTAAGTTGCTTTGTTCAACGAGAATAATTTGGTGTCAAGAATTTTACTGTAATTTTTTGTTGCTAAATATTATAGACATTTTTGCTTTGAAAACATTTTGACACATAAATGGTTTTAAAAGCATGTTTGAAATTATTACTACAATATTATTATAACTAATTTACTACAATATTATTATAACTATCTGTATTAGAATTGACAAAGCCTGAATATGTAGAGCAAAAAAAATTAATAAATTTAAAAACACTTTCCTTTTAAAAAAAATTTAATGATTTATAATTTTTTCAACTTATTCTTTTACACATGTACTTGTAATTACTGAAACATAAAATTAAAAATTTGGGAACTAATATGCAGCCAGAATACCCAGAAAAAAAATCATTTCTAATTTTTTAACAAATCTTTTTGCCCGTGTACTTTACTAAACTAAACTCAGTGGTGTGACAGCCCATAGAGGGTCAAAGCTTACTGTGCCCATCTCAGTTTTCTTGACCTTTGAGCTCCAACGTGCAAGAGCAGATGTTTCGGTTGAGTGGTCAGCCCAACGTGGAACCCCCAGTGTTTAGTTCCCAAGCATGCTTGGTATTAATTTTATCGACAAACTGAAGGGATGAAGTCAACCATGCCCGGCCCATGGATCAAACCAAGGTACTGTGGCACGACAGAGCAAAGCACTACCACTGAGCCACCGGGTGTCCATGTACTTCACTACTGAAATATAAAATTAACATTTTGAAAACGAAACATTTTAAACTTCACTTATTTAAAAAAATCTACAATACTGCTTGTAAAAATTTTAACATATATGCACATAAAATTAATGTTCTTTAAATTATTTTTATAGATATTTAGTACAAATCAAGTAATAAATTACTAGACATAGAAAACAATTATTATCATACCAATTTTACCAGCCATACTACTAGTGTATACTACATGTCCTTTCTTTTGCTCCAAAAAGTGCTTGAGAACCTTTCTTGTGAGATTGACAGTTCCAAATACATTGACATTAAACAAATTCATGTCAACTTTGATGTCAATATCAGCATAACCAGCACTTGAAGAAATCCCAGCATTATTAACTAAGATATCAATCTGGAAAAATTAAGATTTCAATTAAATGTCCAAAAAAAAACCAGTACATTTCAAACATTGTGGACAACTGACGGTACGTTGCCAATTGTTGAAGTCGCACGCTCAGATTTACTAAAAGCAAGTGCATCACACAGCTCCTTTTAATGTAAATAGTAGATTTCACAATAGGTAGAATAATACTATAACAATGCAACAATACATTACAAAATAATAAAAAAAAATTTCACTGCTAGCACTATCACTATTCACTGAAATACTCGAAATGCATTGTCTTTTGCACTTTACAGGAACAATCTAGTCGTCATCGTCGTCAATAATATGATCACATGGATTTGTGATTATGCTCATAGATTTTCCTTTTTCTACTTTTTTGGGGTTACACCAAATTTAAAGTAAATCTAGATAAATTTTTTATTTACTCTTTGCATTGCTTCATCTAATCATTTTGAAACACACAATCATTAACAATGAGAAATACTTATGCAAGAATACGTCCGATAACTTTGCAAACTGCAATAAATGTGCAAAATGAGATGAGAAAAAGGTGCGTTACCTAACAAATACAAGAGGTGCAATGTAAAATAAGCAAAGCGCTATCACGCTGCTTGGTATTTCTTGACCTAAAAATAAAAAATTAAACAAGCTCTGTCGCGCAGCTTGATATTTCTCGACATAAAATACAACAAATGCTATTTGTTACGATTTAGAGAAAGAGCGGTTGCACAGTTTCGGATTCTTTGACAGTGTTTTTTCAATACCCCCTGGGACTCAAACAGTTAAATGAGTGGTGAAATTATGCAGGCATATCTCTTTAGTTTGAAATCATTAGACCAAGAATTCGTATTAAAATAGTCAAGAGGTGCTCTCCTAAGGCTTACAGGAACTATTTGTTGTAAATATATGTAATACATTATAATTTGCAAATTTTATAAAACAATTTTTTTATGAAATTATAATATTTTTTAAGTGTATCATAATTTGTACATTTTATAAAATATCTATAACATTAAAATTTTCTTAGAAATATGTTAATTTTCTTTTTAAAATATTTAATCATCTTTTTTTACATTTTTTTTTTTAAAGTAAGTTGAAATAGTACATGAGCAACATATTCCTAATCCATGTATATAATGAAAAAATATACAAGTTTCCTTTTCTTTACTGAAATCTAGTAGATTTAGAATTAGTAATGATCAAAGAAAAACAGTAAAAACAAAATGATTGCAAAAATAAATCAGATTAAGTAATACTTGAATAATTTATCTAATTTAAAGAAGGAGTTACTTAAAATCACAAGAACTTTTTCAAACTTATTATTTTAAGTAAAAAAAATTGAGTTTCATGCATCAATAAAACATTTTAGGTTTTCGAATCACCTAACATATAATTTTTACATAAAAAAGCACACAAATCTTTTAAAACTACCACGCTTTTTATCACCATTTTTTTATTAAATTACAGTTTCTTATTGCTATATCCAAAGTTTTTTTTTAATGCTAATATTTACAAAAAAAAAAGCATATAATTTTTTTAAATTACCATACTTTTTTAACATCAATTTTTAACTAAATTGCTGTTTCCAATAACTCCTACCTAATAAGTCCTGTAAGTTGAATTGGATATGTTCCAATTCAACTGTTATTTTAATGTTAATTTAAAAAAACATAATTAAAAATATTTAAACAATTAAACATAGTTTTAAAAAATCATAATAAAAAAATACATAAAGAGTATATAATTCCTTTAAAATTGCAATACTTTTTTATAACAGATTTTTAATTAAATAACAATTTCTTATTCCTAAATCGAATGTTGCAAAGAATTTTTTTTCTTCAATTGCTGATTTTTAATTTGCTGAAAATATTTTTATTTACTTCTTTTTGCTTTAATAATTTACACATTAAACTAATAAGATGAACATTAATTAACTCCAACAAAATAATTATAAATCAAAGCAAGAATATTACTTATTTCTGCCATAAAAGTCTTTCTACTTTCTTCAGCGTTATACAATATTGAAACATAACAAGTAATTATAAATTTAGGATCCTTCAGATAAACAAATTAATAAAACCGGATTTATTAATAAAATCGGATTGGGAAAGAGCTAAAAGTGTCACCTAAAAGTTTGAGCATCTGTAGAGTACATTATGGGATAAATAATTATCATCACACACTCATGAATAATTTTCCTAATTAAAAAATTATAACTTTTATATAACTAGGCTCTAACCTTCCCAAAATGATCCAGTACTTTTTTAACACATTCATCATGTTCATCAAATTTATCAATTGAAAATGGCACTAACAAAATATCATCTTCAGCACATTTGGACAGTTCTGAAAAGTAAATAAGTGCAAATGAATAGATATGTGGAAAATAAAATACGAAGTTAATTTTTCAGGACAGTTAAATTTTTAATTATAGAAGGTTAACTTCGTAAATCTGTTTTCAAATGGAATTGTGGTCATAAAACTTAATTTCAACAGCAGCTAATTTTCAATCATCAACTATTACTATGTAATTTTATAACAAATATTAACTATATAATTTTGTTTATAAATAAAAATATAATCATTTTTTAATCTGCTATTTAATTTTGGAAGTAATGACTAAGGAATGATCCAGTTAAGCAAAATATAATGTAAAACAGTTTTAGTTGCAGTTCAATAAAAAGAAAACAATATTAATTTAAATAAATTTTTAAAAAATATCAAATTATAATATTAAATACCAAAATGTAGAGAAATTAAATCAAAAATTTGAAAAATTTAAATACTTTGATAGTTTTTTTTTTTCCATAAAAGATTTTGCTCAAACAAAACATGTTTGAAACAAACATAGTTTAAGGATTTTATTAGCATTTATAGATGTTAGCACGTATACAGTTAAATAAGCAATAATATAATAAAATTGATTTTTCCACAAAGAAAGTTGGTAACATGTTTTAATTGAATTCAATAAAAAAAAGTGTCATAGTTTAAATGTTATTTAATTCAAAAATATTAAACACACATTCTTTGTCTTAGTTTTTGAGAGAAATTTACATTGTTCTGATTATACTAAAGAAAATCATTACATTATCAAGTGAAATAAATGCTAAAATATTACCCTTTTTCAAGAAAGATTTTGTTTGTGACCACTAGACTAGATAAAATAGGGAATTCTCTATCTTCAAATCGAATCACTCTTACTAATTTTACAGTTACCAAGAACTTAATATGGAAGACAAACTAGAGAAATAAAATCAAACTTTATAATTATATAATTCATGTTATGGTACAAATCAAAAATTATTAATTACCATCTATAACACCTTGAAAATATTTAGATTCATTATCCCATAATGATTAGAGATTAGTATTTATTAAAATTAAGTAATGTGATATTAGTAAATAGATTCAAAATAGATAGTAAAATGCTGAGACCAAATAAATAAATAAGGAAAACAAAAAAAGTAAGAGCTAACAAAATATTATAGCACACGAGTGCTGTCAGTGCATGAATGCATAACATAACATGTAAATTTGAAATTTAAATTTTTTTTAAAATTTTCCATTTGAGTACCGTGCATTTGAATTCCGTACCAGGAATAAAACAACAAAATTAGAGCAACCATTTTTTAAAAATGCCTGGAATTTCATGCAAAATGAAATTAAACTTTCTTTTCTAACTATTTTGCTAATTCCAAATTTCTTGCTTACGCACATGATTTTAGCGACATTAGTAGAGCAATCGCTGACAATTGTCGCCATAGTGGTGTGAAACCAATACATTAATTATTATAATAGGAAGCCAGTGTAATGAAGGGTTGATAAATTTTAGCCAAGTCAAAAGATAAGACAAACTTTTTTTAGACCACTTTAATAAGACCATCAAAATAAAAAAAGCAGACTTTCATAGTAAAAAATTTTAAAAGCTGTGATAAAATGAAAGATGCATAATATTCCACAATAACAACAATAGTGTGATGGGATCTTTAAATTAACAATGTTGTCCTTTTAAAACAGTTTGAAGTAAACAGGTTTTAACTTTAAAATCATTAATAATTTCTTTTTCAAAATTAAAATGCAATGAAAATTTATAAGCTTTAGTGCTTTCAAAATATTTTTTCAGACATTCTTCCACATAGTTCTTTAATTACTATACTGCTATATTAGAATTAATAAAAGAAATGACTGTTTAGATAATTTTATAGATCAATAAAAGATTTATTTAAAGTTTATATATTTACCAAGGCAATGTTTTTTCACATTCTGTAGTCTTTCAACATTTACCCCAGATAAAGCAAGTCTTGCATTTCTTTTAATAAAACCATATGCTAAATATTCTCCAATGCCACTAGAAGCTCCGGTAATCCAGACAACTTCTTTTTTGAAATCTAAAACATTTGGTGTGATGTGAAAAATTAGGAAAAAAAATCACAAACATGAAATAAGAAATTGTAATTTAATAATGTAACTATTTTTTACAGGCAACAATAAATAGTACATAATATTAAAAATAAATACTTTGACTCAAAGTCTTTGAGTGAACAAAAAAATTTCGGCAAGCTAAAAATTTTTAATAATTCTTCAATTCTTGTAGGTAATTTGCAATTATTTTTTTTCAAGCCTGATTAACTGTAATTCTTGGTTAGGGGTTTGATCGAATTTTTCAGCTCTGATATCCATTACAAATTTGGTCGCCCAGTATATGAAAAGATTATAAACAACACAACAATACATAAATTAGTCACTTATTTGTAAATGCAATAAAAAAAATCACAACATTAATATTGTTACAATGATAAAATCAGAGACATTTATTGCTGCAATTATTTCTTCACCATAAATTTAGAGTTAATCTCTGTAAAATAACAGAATAAAAATAATTAGCAAGTCATAGTTACAGTTCATAAAATTTTAAATATTTATTAATGTACCTTATTATTTACTTCAATTAAATATTGATATTGCAACTCATCTTCTAAAAAATTTATCTAATAAAAATATTATACCATTATTTTTCTATTCATTTGAGAAAAATACAATTTTTCATACTTTTTTGTTTAATAATTATAAACAGAAATATATAACATATTACGTAATATGTAACAAATTATATATAACATATTATATAATATGAAATAAAAATAAATATTATATGTTTATAAACAGAAATATATAATATTTTGAAAATTAACATGCACTAAAGTTGTCAGTTAAATTAATCTATTGTTTAAATCGAATTAATTATAACTACTGAAGCCTCTCGCTAATGCATAATAAGAATGAATTAATGTTTAACTTACCTTTTGGTGGGTAGAACGCATGATAGAATAATAAAGTTAAATCAGCATCCGCAAAGAAAAAAAATAATGTCAAAAATAGAAGGAAAATACCAATTAAAATCGTTATTAAGTCCATCTTGCAAATTACGAAGTATTACAATAACATAAAATGAATATGACTTTTGAAGGCTAAGGGCTGAAGAAAAAACTATATTTTTATTAATAAACTGTGAAATATGCGTAATCAAACAGGATTTGAGAGGGAGTGGTTACTGATTATCATATTCAGACCGCCCAAACCTGACTCAGCAGATCGCTAAAAAGTCGCGAAAAATGACCAAAACACAACAAAAACGAAAATTTCCATTTGTTACATCTCTGTTTCTACGCATCATAATTTCTCGCTTAACCTACACAACATAAGTAAAGATATATTCCTGCTGGTAGGTAAAATTTTCTCGCATGCGAATGAGAATCTGATTGATGAAATACTTTTACCCGCGAAAAACTCACCAATCAGATCATTCGCATGCCTCTGATCGCATCTCTGATCACTGTTAAGGAAGAATGGGAAGCTAATTGGTGAAATATATTCCGCACAGAAAACTCACCAATCAAATTCTCCTTCTTTTTTGACGATGATCGTAGTTTGTGAGTCGCATGCAGAGAGAATGGCCCTTAAAATCAAAGAGTTTTATGGATGATGTTCTCTAGTTCCGTTTTAAAAGTTTGCAGTTGCTTGCTACATGTTATTCTGATAGGCGATGTTTTCAAACGGATAATTTTGTTTTCAATAAAAGAAATAAATTAGATAATTTCTGAGCTGAAATCTGCCATATTTCATAAGATATTAATATGTAATTCTGGTGAGTTTGAAATGAAATTTTTTTTAGTTTTTTAGAGATATATTGTTAAAAAAAGGTGACATGGTTGCTAGATTTTGAATAACTCGCTTTTTTGGCAGTCTTGATATGACTCCATGATATGGCCTCTTTCCATAAGTTTATTACTGCTTGTTCTTGTTGCAAGCTGTGTACCATCTTACGTTAGTGTTAACACTTTCAGCATTGTAAACACCAGTATTGTTAGCATTGTAAACACAAGTAATAAGTAATCAAATACATTGTTTGCAAGAATCTCAAAACACAATGATGCCAAATGGCTTTAAAATATAACGGTAACAGTAACCTGGAAATTTAGGCGGTACCGAGCTTGCAGCGTTCCCTAGTGTAGAAAACACCATCCATTGACATGAAATAAATAAAAATTATTAAAGAAATTCATTTTTATTTCGGGTTCTTTTACTAGCTGTTCCCGACATTTCGCACCATTGCACTCCGTGGTCTCAGCAGCAAATGATTGTTTCCTGAAAAAAAATATTGATCTAATTTCTAATCTGTACCAATGATAAAATTAAAGAAACTAAGTTCAGTAATCGTTTCATGAGCCTAGAACCCATGTTATGGTATTATTTTATCATATCCGGATATCCGGTAGTAATCATTTTGTAATATATATATATTTTTCTAAATTTCATGAAAGAAAGGGAAAAAATATACATTGTCTGCAAATAATAAATTATAAGAATCGAATCATAAGTAGTATAGTACTAGAGAAAAAAAATAACGTTATTGAAATCAAGCACTGTTGAAATAATCGAATATTTTATCAATATAGTTAATAAAAATAATCAAATAAGTTTATTCATAAGAGGAAAATAAAACTCCTCCCTTTCGTTGATAAATAAACGGATACCATCTGTGACATTAGGTCACAGCCTAATTTATAAATATCCTGTTTTTTTAATCAATAATACTAATTCTTTTAATTTTGTAATACATTCTTTTATTTTCATCATCTTTCTTTAGCCCCTTAAGCGGTAGCGCAATTTGGACATTCTCCCCCTAAAATTCCTTACCAGCTCCTTATTTCGAGAAGTTTCCACCCTTTTTTTTCTGAGAATTCCACTGGTCGTCGGCATCTTTCATCTCCGCGTGTTTGTTGTGTTTCTCAACCGTAACTTTTAACGCATAATCAATTTTTCGTCTCAACTCGTGATTTTTAGATAATTTAACTTTAACTTGCACAACATGCACTACAACTTCAACTGTAAGTTTTTGTATCTTATAAAAAGAGCGCGCGAAAGATGACGATCGCATTCGAAATTCGAGAGTATCATACTCCACGTCGCGCTGTTGCGTGATTTACTTTTTATCCTGTCCTCGTTAGGAGGTGAGGATGGCGTCTCCTTCGCCATTTTTCTTGTGTAGTTTCTCATTTATGAGATAAATTCCACTGACTGCCTGTTTTGCTAATATAT